TGGGGGGCAGGGCCGCACACAACCTGGGGGGCAGGGCCGCACACAACAGCATTGGCATATCCTTTGCAGTAGCCAAACTTGTGGCATCTGAAGTTGGCCAGGAGCCGGTGACAGCCTTCCCTGTAAGGTGTAAACTCCACTATGGTTCGTGCCTGGTGATTAGCAGCCAGTGTTCCCAAACTGAATGAAGAGATAGAAAGGAAAATGTTCTTTGTCACATACATAGCTTATACTTATGCAGCAGTAGAAACTGGCTATATGCCTGTTATGTTCGATCTGTTTTTGTGATAACTCTGCCATATGCCATCTCTATCCTAGACTATAAAATTTTGTGCCAGAGGAGGGAGGCAAAAAAAAAAAAATCATATAATGAAATAACATGACTTTTCCTTCTTATTCAGGGGAAGGTTATTACCAGAATTTACCAGTGCCCTTTTATTAATCCCACAGAGTCATCCAAAATTTGTTTCAACAATGCTTTATACTTTTTCACTTCAGCACCGTAATTGGAAGCCAATTCCACCTATTCTGAGAAATACCAGCCCCTTGAATTCTTTGTAAAGATAGCATATTCCATTCTAACTTCACTTTAGGTCTTCTATTTCTGGTCTGTCTGACTACCTCAAGTTCATTGAGCTTTATTAGATGAGTTGTACATACTTCAATGAGAATGCACCTTAATAGTTTTTTTTCAAGACTAAATAGTCCCAAACTTTGTCAGTTTTTCCTCACAACCAGAAATAGCAACAGATACTAACCAGTTGCTAAACTCCTTTTGGGGTAGGATGGCAAACACAGCAGGTACTAGGTGCCACCCTTCCCCAGTGGAGAAACTATGGGCTTACAAGGTACCCTGGTGACCGACACTGCCTTTTTCCAATTTTGAATGAATTGTAGGTTAAAGAAAAGAATGTTGGGTATAGTGACTGTTTAGCAATGTATATTTAGGGAGATCCTCTTCACAGATTAAAAGGGATTATTGTACTCTCCCCACTAATAGAGGCTCTGCCTAACATATGGGTACCCAATTAGCATTTCTCTCAAAGGAAATAATGTGTTTCCTCCAATGGACAGTAGCTCTTAAATATTTTTAAATTATTTCTTTAAAAAATGAAAAAATATGCATATTCTCCCAGCACTAAATGCTCTATTATTTGCAAGGACAACTAGACTCTCAGTGCAGTCTCACAGCAAAGGCATGGACTGGTGGAGAGACAAAGTCCTATTCAGCAATAGAACAACTGAAATCTTCCAATGTCATATTCAACTGATGAATTCTGTTTAAATATTTGTTGAACTTACTCAATAGTTGTTGGCTCTTTGAACAGTCCACAACCTTCCAGGTTCAGTACACAGTTCCTCAGGTTCTCCTGGAGGGGATTGCAGAAGGAGATCTCTGCGGTGCACGTAGCATGCACCCTGGGTTTACCTAGGAGCTGATGAAAGACACAGGAACTCTCTTATGAATCAGCTTCCATACGAGGAGAGCTAAAAAGATGAGGGCTGCTCAGCTTAGAAAAGGGACAAGTAAGGGGATATGTGATAGAGGTCTATAAAATCATGAATGGTGTGGAAAATGTGAATAGAGAAGTGTAATTTACTCTGATAATACAAAAACCAGAGGTCACCCAATGAAATTAACAGGAAGCAGGATTAAGAGAAATAAGAAGTACTTTTTCACACAACATACAATTAACCTGTGGAACTCATTGCCATAAGATGTTATGAAGTCCAAAAATATAACTGGGTTAAAAAAAAAACAAAAAAAACCCTAGATGAGTTCATGGATGATAGGTCCATCAATGGCTATTAGCCAGTATGATCATGGATGCAACCTCATGCTTGGGGCAACCCTAAACCTCTGACTACCAGAAGCTGGAAGGGGAAAACAGGAGTGGTTCTCTCCAGAATTGCCCTGTAATGTATCCTGAAGCTCTGGTACTGGCCACTGTCAGAGACAGGATACTGGGATAGATGGATCATCGGTCTGATCCAGAATGGCTGTTCTTACGTTCTTGCATCCCTCCAAAAAATAGCATTTAGACTAGACTAGGATTTTAACAAAGCTGAAATATAAATAAGGAAATAAATGGAGATTTAAAAAGGGAGTTATTAACCTAAAAATCCCTTCCTGGTTTAAAGTTGGCAGACATCTCTCCTATGAGATGGGGTCAATTGTTATTAGATTCAAAATCAAATTCTCTGTTGGTAAAATGAAAAATAAAGAAAGTTCTGTTGCTTCCGATTTTTTCAGCACTACAAACACGCACGGTGATCTATGAATAGCTGTGTGTGTGTGTGTGTGTGTGTGTGTGTGTGTGTGTGTGTGTGTGT